AGGGAAGGAATTTGAATATGAAAATAAACTTGCAGCTCCATGGAGACACAGAACCACATATTACAGCATGTTGACATGTGATTTGTGTATTTATAGGGGGACTTATGCTATAGACATGGTTATTAGACACCACAGGAGCAGGAGTCTGAAAGACTTTACCTTGTTTGCTTGAGATAGCTGCTGTAAATACTAATTTTCAAGGCATGAATCAACTCCTCCAGGTCTTTGCTTTTGAAATCCTTCCCCTCGTTATAATTAGTATTCAGTTTTAACAGTGTGATCTCAGTGTAGAATCAGCTTATCTTTCAGGCTGACATGGATTAGGAATCTTGTTTTGGTAAACAGCCTACAGAGCTTCTGAGCAATCATAGGGCTTATACATCAACTTGGAAATAAGGACATGGAAAAGTAAATGGATTTGACCGAGTTTTACTGTGAGCAGATACAGAGCCTGAGTGTACAGAACATCAAACTGTGTCTGTGTGTTGGTATAGCCACATGAAGGAAGTTGTTCCATTTCAAGCAGTAATTTACTCTTGGCTTCCCAGGTAATAGGTGCTAAGATTTTTGATTTTTCTTGCTGTTGGTATCCTTTTAGACAAAGGGTTATATTTAAATAGTTTGCAAAAATAATGTCCTGATCATTGACATAAGAATCTTATTGAAGGACCAATTTGTTTTGCTAATAAGGCAGAGCTTTTTTTCTCATTTGGCAGATTTGCTGCCAGCACACAGAACTCTTTGTACCCAGTAAAAATCAAAACGAATTGTACTTTAATGACTTCAGAACTCTGTTTGCATGGGTAGCACCTTTTCAATGACAATTCTTTTCGTAGCCTTTCTCTGTATTGCTTGAGTGAAAACAGACAGGAATTCTCATAATGTGCCACTGCAATTTGTATGTGCTGTGAGGGTCATCACATCTCTAGCAGGGAAGAGAATCTTGTGCACTTCAAGTGCAAGTTAGTATTTCTGTGATCACAGGAATGTTTCAGCCAGGAACTGCCTGAGTTTCCTACAGCACTGTCTCCTCTCTGCAAACACAGACATCTCCCCACGGAACTCGTACGAGTCGTGATTCACAGTCACTTTTATTTTTGTGTTGGCTCTAGGTTTACTTAGACAATTTTTATCCCAACAATTCCTTTTTCATGTTAGTTAGCTGTCTGAGCTACTATGATAAAAGGTAAGAATGAATTATAAATACCAAAAAGTAGTTATTGCTGTTGGTCTTTTCCTGGTTGGTGTGTGCCTGGTGAGCATATCTTTGCTTGGGAATATTCAGTGGTAGCAGAGAGTAGTGCAGATGTGGGTACAACTGAGTGCAAAATCAGGATGCTTCCTAGGAAGGTATGAATTTCAGATGGAGACAGTGAAAATAGGCTAAGAGTACTTAGATATTGCAAGAAAATGCAAGGTGGTATTTTTCACTAATGTCAAAAGAAGTTTAGGGACCACCACAACATCAGCTTCAACTGGGTTGAGACTGCAAAACCAGTACCAGATTGTTTTGCTAGAAATGTCAGCTTTCTGCACTGAGTGATACTAAGCAGTCCACTCAGTTAGTTCTTCCCTGTAGTGATCATCCTGGAATTATGGCTCTAATAGTCACCACTCGTTTCTTAAGGCACAGCTAAGTGACTGAACCTAACACTGCCATGACATGGACAGGCAGATACTCTTTAAACATACCACACACAGGTTTACCTTTCAGATCTTTAGGTTCATTGTTAGTCTCAGCTTGCACTGAGGTTTCATGTCTTGCCCTTACTATTTCTAGAAGCTTATAGAAATCATTATTGCTTTGGGTTTGTGTACAGCTATTGCCACAGGAAGGGTTGGGGCTGCTATTACAATGACACAGCAAAGCTCCAGGAGAGCTTTGCTCTGTATTGGGAGTCTGGAGCAGGTGCTAACTAGGCAGGAGTACCTTGACTTGATCCTAAACTGGTTAGGAGAGCTCACCTGCATGCTCTGGAGCAGCCAAAAAGCAACTGTGTCCTGACCATGTCATCAGAAAGTTATGACAGAGCCTGAAAAATGTTTCCATTTAGGAACTTCTTCAATAGAGCTTTTTCCTTTTCCTCACAGACTTGTGCTCTGCAGCCTTGCTATTTGTTTTATTAGTACAGGTTTACTGTTCAAGGACAACAATTTAGGGAAGAGTGGGGATCACATTATTTTTATCACATGGATAAAGATACCTTAAAAAGAAAACTTAATCATGCAAACCTAGCACTAACCAGAGTTATCTGGGTAAAAATGACCTGTGTAAAACTACACATTGCTTGTTGAAAAAATCTGGAACTAACAGACTGTCACAAGTAACATTCTGTCTTATAGGTCATGGTGAGATATTTATTGCTGAAATCAATGAGAAGTAAATGAAGTCTGTCAAATGTTTTAATGTTAAAAAAAATCTTTCGAGTCAAAGATAACTAGAATTTTTTAACACTTACATTCTGCATGAAGTGCATCTAAAAATAATGCTCATTTTCATTCTTTCAAAATGAAATACACTCTGGGACCAGCACAAAAACTGACATCAGGGCACAGCCTCACATGTCTGATAGATGAGCTTCTGAGTGAGTTCCTTCTAGATATCAGACAGGGTTAACTTAGAAGTTAGGAAGTGGTGAAGAGATGCAATTCTCCTCTTTTAGATATCAGACAGGGTTAACTTAGAAGTTAGGAAGTAGTGAAGAGATTCAATTCTCCTCTTTTCCCCTTAGATGTCATAAGTTCTGAGCATTTGTAACAAAGAAAAGGAATTCTTTGTCATTCTAATGAGAACCTGTGAATACAGCTGTTGTTTTTTATTTTGAAGACCAGATTTTTTCAGTTGTTAGGGTTGTAGATTAAGGTGATTTACAGGGTTAACTTAGAAGTTAGGAAGTAGTGAAGAGATTCAATTCTCCTCTTTTCCCCTTAGATGTCATAAGTTCTGAGCATTTGTAACAAAGAAAAGGAATTCTTTGTCATTCTAATGAGAACCTGTGAATACAGCTGTTGTTTTTTATTTTGAAGACCAGATTTTTTCAGTTGTTAGGGTTGTAGATTAAGGTGATTTTTTTGTTTGTTTGTTTGTACTACAGTCAGCACAACAAACAGGATGGTTTGACACACTTCTGTAAATAAAAGCCATGCCCAGTGCTGGTGGGTCAGTGTTAGTGAGATGTTGCCTGTAAACAAAACACCAGAATCAGCTCAAACCAAGCAGGGAATAAAACATAGGCTGATGTGGAAGTCATGATAAGGAGTATTAGCAAACTGTGATGTGTGCAGAGCAGAGGGACACTGAAACAAATTCTGCACAGGCACAAGGTTTGGATTTAATACATAGTCTGTACAGTATCAAACTATATAAAAAGTTTAAAAACCACAGGAGAATATATTTAAAAACTTCTTATATTGTAAAAATTTTAAAATTAGGTCCAAACCACCATTAAAAAAGGTATGAAATGTGCAACTTTGCAAGTGGGAATAAGGGGCACGAGAAGGGTTCGTAAGGGTTAGTAAGAGTTGGTTTCTCTTTGTTTCCATATCTTCATACACCCAGTAATGACACAGACCTCAGAGCAGTTCTCCTCAGGCAAGTAGGACAGGAGCTAAAAGTATCACCACTGATTTCAGCAGGGAGGATTGGCTGCAACAAGAAGTTAAAGGCTATTTTAAGAGACAAATGTACAGTACAGTCTATTTATGTAAATACTTGGAAAACGCAGGAACAAAACTGTTTCCTAAGCACAGAGCTGTGAAATCAGTGTGCCATATGGAGCTGGAATATATGGCAGAATATTTTAAAACCCTAAACCCTCTTGAAAGAAAACTGTTGTAGAAGTCTGCATCTAGAATAACAGGAGTACTCACTGGTGTTTTAACCAAAAGCTGCAAAGATTTTATATTTCCAAATGTGCTAACATTAATAGAACTTAGTATTTTTAAAAGGCAGAAACCCTTTTCACTGATTTCTCACAGAGCACAGAGTGAGGAAGTGATCATTAAAGGCAATATAAATGGTAGGCAAGTGAAACAGATGGCTGTAACATAATTCTTGAGTCTTAACTGGCACTTAACACTAACTCTACTTGCAATTTGACAAATACAATAAGACACCTATGTTGACATACACGTGGTGCACTTAACTACTTTTATTTATGCAAGTGAGGTATTAAAACTGTCTTGAAAAGCAGACGTCTAAAGAAGAGAAAATGGTGTGAGGAAGAGAATAGTAGTTACTGTTTTCAGTGTTCGGTGATTAGTAGCTGTAGGGTTTTTTTCTTCCAATATCCTATCTCATAATCTCCATGCAAAGTCTCTGTCTCACTCCTCCACTAGATAGGTAGTTTGGGAAGATGGGAGGAAATCCACCATTTTTCAGCAAGAATTAGTTATGAAGACTGTTGGGATTTTTTTTAATGAAGTATAATAAGCTAAAAGTGTGTGGCTATCACACGCTGCATATAGTACACTTGGAATATATACACTGTCATTGTACACAAGCATCTCCTATATACACCAACACCATCTTCACCAGGAAACTAAAAGTCCATAGATAAGGAACCTTGTGCTGGATCTTCCCTTCCTCGAACGTAAATTTCACATGGAATCTCCTCCATCACCCTGTCTTCTATGACTTGCTCAGGGCAGTCGTGGCCTTGTTTGAAAGTGTAAGTACTTTTCTTGAAGGTGCTGTTGAAGGTTTTCATGGGCTGCGGCTGCGCGAAGTCGTTGCGGAAAGGCAGTTCCATGGAGCTGAGGTTTGTCCTGCTCTGTTTGACGTTAGAGGCCTGGGAGCCACAGTGGTGGTCGTGAATGCATCTAGAAGCTGTGGAAGGGCGTCGCATTTTCTGGTAGTTTTCAAGTTCTTCTGATAGATCTGCCAAATCTGCAGAGATTTCTTTGTCCCTCAGTGAGAACAGTTCGTAGTGTGGAGGATCAAACACTTCCTGGAAGCCAGTTTTGTTGAAGGCAGACTTGCAAGCCATAACCTTTTTGCGAGGTTGCTTTACTTGCACTAGAATTGAGATGATGAGAAGAACTAAAACTATCCCTGATGTGATGCCAATGATTGTCCCATGAGTTCTGGTGATTTGTTCAAACAATCCATTTCTTTTCTTTTCTGCAAAGAAAAAAAGGAGGATTTAGAAGGCTTTTATTATTTTTCACACTTTTGATCATGTGTTTAAACAAAGCAAAGTGTATTGTCAATGCTATCCAAGTGCCATAGGAATAAATTACCTTAATGGCACTGGAGACTAGACCTGTATGTCAATGGGATTTGTCTAATTCCCTGTCATTTGTGGCTGCCATAGGATAATCTGGTGGCAGGTGGGACTCTGAGCAGTGCATGCTGACTCAGCCTCAAGTTGTATTACAAACTCCACGAGTTACAAGGCTTAAATTAACCTTACATAGGTTAAATCCAGCTACAGATGATGCTTCTCTTACCACGGTTTGTTCCTGCTGGCAACATTCCCATTCATGTCAGTAGAAGAAAACCTAGACTTAAAATTATCTAGTTCTTCTTTAAAAGGGAACTATTATCACAGTGATATCGGATATAGGAATGACTGTACTGTTTGTTTTCACAGCTCTTGGAAATGTAGTGGCTGTGTCTATTGTATAAGTCTCTTATCCCCAATTCAGCACAGGGAGCTTTAGCACAGATATATTCCAGTTTTAAAATTCCAAGAATCAAGTCAGCTGGGGGGGAAAAAAAGCAAGGTGAGGGGCAGGGGAAACCAACCAACCCACATCATATGGCAATTCTGGCTTGGTACTTCATGTGAAACACACAAGATGGCAGCAGCAGGATAAGATGGTTTTCCATATTTAAAGTTCTTTGAAGATTAAAATTTTCCAGTTGGATTTCTGTTCTGTAAACGCTCTTGTCCTAGGGGATTGAAAGATTTCTACACTGACATTCTGCAACATCTGCTAGGGGAGGAGAAAAGCATTTAAGACCATATAGAAGATAAAGTAGTAGCCTAAATATTGCTTAGTGTTTTCAGTTATCTGGCTCCTGGCATCTGAGTGTGTGCTCTGCACCTGAGTACCACACACACTGCGTGGGGAGAGTTATGTACCATCACATATTACTTGAAACAATCATATACTAAACAGGCTGCTAAGGAATTGGCTAATAAGAAGTTATGTCTGAAATAATTTCTGCTTCAGAGCTTGGACTGTTTACTCTGAGTTACATTTATACCTTGAACATGAAGGAGATTACCTGCCCTTGTCCTGCCTAGCTTAGACCCTAGTGTTACCATACTTCATGGGAGGTGGGAATTTCAGTGTGCCATGGCAGTTCTCTTAGCTTCCTTAATTCTTGGAAGATAATTTAATCAAGAAGTCGTTATGCAAAAGGTGGTGTCTTCTCTAGTCTCCTAAAATAAATTGCACACAACTGACTCCTCTATCAATTTCTGTGTTACAGGGCTTAGGCATAAGTAGGTCACAATATGCTCAGATTTCTGTAGCTATTGATATGGACTAACTGAGAACTCTGGGTGCCTGCAGGAACTGAGCACCATTGTGAGCAGCTTTCTTTTTAAGGCAAAATATTGCTTATTTGGTTGCATCAGTCTCTTGGCAATCTGCATCTAGTCTTCACTGTCTTGTAATTATCTGCTGGACAAGTATTACAGCAGAACTGAGATTGCATCCAACATGAAACATGGGAGGTTGTTCAGGACCAGACACAGTGATTTGCAGATACTGGGAAAGACACTTTCCCCACATTACAATACAGTTTGCATGGAAGTAATTTTTTTAATACTGCAGTGAAGTGTGGGTTCTAGGTGAGATTCTAGGCAGCAGTTGGGAAAGATATCTAGAAATCCCACTTAAGTGGGAATGTTGAATATTGCCAAAGCTAAGTTTTGTGGAAGATTATGTTTACATTAAAACCTTGGGAGTTATGGATCAGATTTGTTAACTGGAAAGCTTCTATAATATGCCTAACATTAGAGTATTTGTTAGTGGTGTGAATTTTCTCATTTACTCAAAATGCAGTAATAAAGTAGCTCTGTTTAATATTTATTTACTGAAAAAAATATAAGCAGGGCTTGGGTACTGAAAAGACATTTTATTTCAAGGTTTTCTGTAGAGAAGATTTTGACCTTTCCTGCAGGGTCAATTTATCTTTGGAACTCAGTACATATTAAAATCTTTCTGCAGTTTTGTGTTCAGTTCTATTTATGCCATTCTATTTGTCAAAAGAAAAAAAAAAAGGAAAAAGTCAAGTGTTTCTGCTCTATTGTTTTCTTTAGCAAGAAAAATCGGTGACCTTAGACTGGTGTTGTGGTAACTCTGACAATTCAGCTCTTGTGGAAGAACAGGTGAATATGTTTGTGCTTTATCAGAATGACAATTGCCTCAAACCCTACAAAGCCTGATACTGAAACAAGTCTTTACTGTGGTTGTGATGGTGTAAATAATACTCCCCACTCCATGGTCTAGCAGCAGTGATTTACATGGATTGGTTTTCCATGAGGGATTAGCTCATGTTTCCTAACAACTCCTCCTCCTCCCATCCTTTCTCACACCATATGCAGCAGCTGAATTACTCTGAAACAGCCTATGATTAACATCTCAAAACAAATGCTTTAAAATTGTATTTGTCTTTGAGGGTTGTTGCTTCTATTTCAGCCCTGAGAAAGGCTTTTTGTGTTGGAAAGCTTGTCTGTGTTTTTTCCAGCTCTTTATTTTTTTTCCTCTAAAAGGTATTCCTCTCCCTACAATCCTTGCTTCTTTTGAAATTTAGAAATGGATAGGATGCAGCCTGGAAAATACTAAATTCTATTTCTTATCAAGCTGACATGCTTCTAAAATAGAGAGTATATGCTGAAGAGGAAGAAATTTAGTTCCAAAGTGGAAAGATCAGTATTCAGGATGCTTATGTGTCTCCCGAGTTTAACTAAAAAATTTGGAACACTTTCCTGAGATTAGCAGAATAGCTGTTTTCAGCATATTTCCAGGAAAAAGGCATTTTATGACTTTGTTGAAAGGCAGAGTGGCCAGCCTAGCTGATAAAGGTGACACTCTGCACGATCCTCACCTCTGCAGTGGTTCTCATCCCAAGGGTATGCACAGTTCTGAATGCCATTGCAGACTAAAGAATTATTGATGCACATGTTGCTATGGCAGAAGTAAGTGTTGCCTGAGCAGGGAGCTGCAGGAGAGAATAGAGAGAAACACTCAGAATTTTCAGGAATTGATGCATTGCAATAAAACTGATTTCTTTCTTTCTTTCTAACATGCAAACACATTCTTTATCTGCTTCAAACACAATCCCTTGTCTTGCACATCACTGATTATTCACTGGGTTTTTTTCCTCTCTTCATGTGGTTGCTTTCAAGTATATCAGTGCTACAAAAAAAAAAAAAACTTGTTCAAAATGGGTAGGTAGCAGCTAGAGACAGTCACAAAACACAGATAATGGAAAAAGGTTTAATATATGTCTTTAGAATCTTAATACTTATGAATCACATGTCACCATCAATTATGTATTTATTCTGCTGAGCATCTGCTGGGTAGATGTGGTGAAGCAGTCCCTGAACATCTGCATTTTGGAGCCCATTAAAATCTTAAGGCAAATCAGATTTCAGCCTGTGGAGGACAGTTTCAGTAATTGCAAGAGATTGCAACAACTAGAGGCGTCTAAGTCATTCCTTTTTGTGAATCAAAAGCTCTTGGCTGCTCCTATTAGAGCCAATGCAGGGATTGAGAGAGCACAGTTTAGCTTTTATCTCTGTCTATATATAGCTAGAGATGTGAAAAGAGAAATTAACTAGAAAGCTGCCCTAAAGATGTTGTTTGTGTGAGTATTTGTTTTAGCTCCTTGACACTAGACAAAGACATTGAAAACAGCAACAATTCTTTTCAGGGTGCTGTATAATATATACAGGCAGTTATTTACAAATTCAGGGCACCCTACAAGAAATTGGTTTTGCCTTTCTCTGTTTCAGTAATGTGGTGTTTTCCTGATGGAAATGTCTACTATTAGTGAAGTCAATTATATATTAAGCAGCAGAGATGTGTGATAGACATTCCACTCTTGGGTTTCATAGAAAGAATTTAGTCCTGAGCAGTTTGGACTCCCTGAAACATAATGTGAAACCCAAAGGATATAGCAGAGGGAAATGACTACTCCTGAATACTCTTTTTTCACTCCTGTTCAGCTTCAGAGTCTCAGTGACAAAAAGAGCAGCTATGCCTAAGAACAAAAAAATCCAAGGCTTTAATTCTGAATTTGCATTTCCTCAATCTCATAGGCATTGTCTTCCCTTTTCTTACTCCACTGAGTTTTGGTAACCTATACTCATTGGTTTTAAGCTTTAGCATTAGCTTGCTGGTATTGCTTAACCCTGGGAATCTGGCAAGGAGATCCACATGGAGAGTTTGTGCTTTAATTGCAGTGCAAGTATAACACAGAATGTGTCTGGTGTGTGCTTTGGAAGAGCTTATCTATGCAATTGCAGTGCTTAAAATGTCATGGTAGCTATCACATGTACCTTTGTACATGAGAATTAAAGGGGCCTGGTGGTTGTGGTGTTGGTGTGCCAAAACATCCCCTGCAATGTAACAAGAGTGGCTGCTAAGGCAAGGCACATCACTAATGGCTTAAGGCCTAATGTCAGCATCATCTGAAATCATGATACATCATCGTGAAATTATACTGCACTTATGTTCCAAAGGGATTCACATCATCTCCCGGAAGGACTAAATGAGGACAGGCTGAAAGTTATGCAAGAATATCAATGTAGACTTAGGTAGCTTTTTCCTTCTGGTTTTGGAAAGAGAGATTGTGCAAGCTTTGCTTTATAAAGGATAGGCATGATCATCATTTAAAGAGAAGAGCTTAAAAAGGCTATGTATGTAACAGGCTGCAGTATCTACCAAAATATTTCTGGCTGTCAGATGAAGGAGGATCTACAAAACTCATGTCCAAAGTGGTGGTTGTGGAGCTATGTGTACCTGCTGATGTTTCAGCATGGATCTGCATGGAGGTGTAGCTCTTTTGGAGGCACAGAGGAAGAATTATGATGACAGACACGTTCCCCTTCTGATTTCCCTGAACAGGTGAATTTTTTCATGGTTCTGTATTTTTGAATGATGCGTTCTGCTGCTGCCTCTCCACCTGCCAGCACAGTCTGTGTTACATTTTTGAGTAGTCTCTAACTTTTGGGGGGATGGCTTTTGTTCACAGCTCATAAAGATGGGTCAAATGGCCTCAATTTCCCTTTTGTTTGCTGCTTGGGGAGTAAGAAGTCTAAAAGTCACAATGATTGATCGGTTCCAGTCCAGGACTTCAAGGACATAGCTGGACTCTTCTCACAACAGAAGAGCCTGGTGCAATGTTCACAGTGTTCTTTGTCTCTAGCATTATTCATGTATTGAATCAAGCCAGAAATCAAATACATTGATTTTTGACATTGCTGTTAGCTGAATTACTTAGTCAGATCTGCGAGCAGCACTAGGTGAGTGTTAGGTGACTGTCATGCACAATTAGCTCGTTTATGTAAATCTTTTCAGAAATATTGATCACTTTTGTGGCTGGCTTCATATAATTACAAATCATTAGGAAGGTAGAGGAGCAAAAGAGCTTAACAATCTGAAAATAAGATAAGCACAGACTCACTATTTTCAGTTAGACAGACTGCCTAGGACTAGATTATTTAAAAACACTTGAGATATTTTCCAGCCACATACTTTTCAGTCACTCTATCCAAGAAAGGAAGTATCTCAACTAAGTAAGAATAACCACATACCTTTTCAGATTTTCTGCCAATGACTTCTAAGTTACTTTCAAATCCTAAGTTTGGGAACTTATCTAGCTTTAGGAGTACTCACTGTTTCAACCTCTTGAATTAAAACAAAAAAAAAAAAACACAAAAAAACCCTGAAAGGAACCAAACTCAACAAAAACCTACTCCAATATTTGTAATATAAAGAGATAATTTCCCTGGCTAAGTTCACAGCATTTTCTAGACTGAAATCTGTAATAACTTGCACCATCATTAAGATTAATAACTGTACTGAAATAAAGAGCACTGGAAAAGCTGTTAGCAATTTTTGCAAATTGTGCTTAAAACTGATACTTGCTTAAAGTCACAATATCTGCAGCTTATTAAATGCTTTTTGTGGGTTAAACAATAGACTAGCTTGACACAGGCAATTGTGCATCATTACCATGTATGCAGAGAGGGCAAGAAGCTATTTCTCTTACAAGTCTCTGTTACTTTAGAGAGATTGTTGTACAGGAAGGAACTTTTCTCCTATATTAAACTGTTTTATGGAACAGAACATAACATCTACTAGTTGCCTGTAACCTGAACTTTTTGCAAGGTGGTGACCAGGATTCCTTTCAGGACTGGCTACAGACATGTTAGTTCTGTCAAAGTCATTTCTTTGTCAGCAAATCTGTACTTTTTGAAAAGCCTTTAGCAAAGCACAGGTCTGATTTCTTGCAATGGGAACATTTGATTCAGCTTTCCCCGTGTATCTGCAGTTCTGAACTGAGTCTACTTTAGTGCTGAAGATGCCATTTATTTTCTCATCCTGCAATGTGGACAGTATTGTCCTTTGTAAATATGTGAGGCAACAAAATTCCATTCAGTTCAGAGAGAAAAGCACTTTAGAAGAAAATCTCACAGAAGTGTTTTCAAAAAAACATCGTAGTCTTTATTCTCATTTCAGTTATCTCTAACCCAGCCTGTGGAATCCAAAGAAAAATCCAGACTGCATTTCCAACTCTGCTTTAACTGTAGACTTATTGAGTAAATGTGAATTTAACTGCTTATCCATGGCCTGGCTAAGGCAGCACGTGTAGGGTCATTCTGAGCCACATGCAGCTGGGGATGAGGGAGCAGCTTAGGTGCAGCTGCAGTGGGTGGTGTTCCAGATCCAAAATTGAAGGGAGAGCTGCAGACAGGAAGGAGATTGAGACCTTACAGGATCAGGCATGTTTTCTAGCTCTCTGAACATCCAGCATGGGCTTGATAAGAGCCTGCTGTGGTGAACTGGCCATGGGGACCAGTGGGAGAGCACACTTCAGTCCCACTGCTGTCTTTCTGAACTAAGCCTGTGCTCATTTGCACAACTCTCTGTGAGGAGGACGTAGCTTAGGGCAGTATTATTACTGAATTCAAATGAAAAAGAAACCTTTTCAGAGTGGAGGGAAGCTTTCCTGTAGGCACCACACTACAGCTGTAAGAAAGCTATCACCTAATTTACCCGTAAAGGAAACAGAAACAACCTTTTTCACCTACTCCTGCTGCATAACCTGCTTTTCCTAAACTCCCTGAGGTACCCTGACCCCAGGAGAATGGGAACTCTAGAGTCTACTTACGATCCACAAAGGAGGTGAAGAGCATTCTGAACCTGCTGAGCCTGCTGCCCTCGTCTGCCCACATCCTCACCACCCCAGTGCCTGTCTGCAGCATCACGTCGTTGGCCACGGTGCTGCAGAACTTGGCCTTCAGGTTCTCAATGGAGCTGCTGCCATCGTACACTGCCACGAAGTTTCTCTTGCACTCGTTGGAATGCTCCATTTGGTAGTCGAGGAATCGCATGTAAATCTGGGAGAGAGGAGAAATGAGTGTCTCTAGGCAAAGAAACGCAGAGAAGACAGTTCTGTTCCTTAGCAAATCTGGAATAAGATGTTTTGTCCCCTCACACACAATTCACAACACTGTCAAACTAGTGTTTTCTCATTAAGTGTCCATGTGGAGTATTACCTGATGTTTGTCTTGGGTATCTGTTTCACTTCTCCCCACTCCCCAAAACAATCTTTAGTTAACAATTCACTCTGATATATTTCTGCTCCCTTTGGAAAAAAAAGTACAAAGAAACACACTTTGCTGAAGAAAGCCCCAAGCAGCTCTTAAATGTGATGTCGATTACTCTGGAAGAGACATAAGGAATGCATAAATGTGCTGGAATAATTTTAATGGTATTTTGACTGTTCCTTTTTCTTTCTTTTTAATTCATGATAAAATATAAGGGAAGGGAGTCTAGTCAGAAAAGCTCTGAAGTAAAATAAGAAAATTAAAATGTATTGCTGCAGAATGGAAGGTAATTACTGAACCATAACAGTGTTATGGCATACACAAACCATGAAGTCAGGAGTAATTTGAGTAACACTGAAAGCGAGGGAAAAGTAAACTGGCTATGTAGGAAGAGTTAACAAATTTAATCTGAATTCTTCTCAAAGCATAAATCTAATCCAAGAGATGTTAGAACATGCGCAGCAAGGAAATTAGAGGACTGAGATGGCACTTCTAGAGTAAGTAAATTTCTTTTGCTGGTGCAGGAAACTCATGCAAAATTGTGATTTAGGTAGAAGTACCTGAACATGTTATGAGGCTTTTAATCTCTGGAGTGGTTGTTTTGGAATTCTCCAAATTCTGGTGAAAGCAGAAACACAGAGCAGAGGAAACAGTTGCACCCCCCTGGCTTTCCCTCCCCAGTGCCTCCAGGGGCAGGTTCCCAGCTGTGAAAAGGTGCAGCCTGTGCCACATTATCTCATGCTTCACCTCACAGTTTTGTGATTTTCAGTATTTATACTTCTTTTTTCTCCACTGCTGTTTTTGTTAGATTTCCTGCTGGAAATTCTCAGCTACATTGAGAGTTGTGTTCTGTCAATGCCTTCGCTCACAAATGTGGGTGTGAGCTGCAGGTGCTAGTATTTAGGCTAAGACATGGTATGATTGACTTTATCTCCTGCAAAATGACAATGGGAACCAAAAATAAATTAGCAAACTTGTAGTGGAGCTATTATTTGTATGAAAACACAGGAATAATTCCACTGGAAGTGCTCATCTCAGCTCCTCTGGGTTAGTGTGTTAGGCCAGGAAGTACAAAAGGTCCTTACTCTGAGATTATATTGATTATTCTTGTAATTTTCTGAAACTGGAGACCATTTATTAAGTATCTGTTAGGGAGATTTTAAAAGTATTTTCACTGCTACAGTTGCATCACTTTTAAAAGTTTGTTTTTATTATCAAATCAAATTGAGGAAATTAAAAACGTCTACACGAATTTTTCTCAAGAGACTGCACCATATCAGATCGAATGGATTTTATCCTCATAATTCTGCCAGAAGCTTGAGAAATTATTGTCAGAATACTGAGAATTATTTTTCTGTAATGTTTGAAATCAATAATTTAGGATGATGATCTAATCTCAGGACTCACCCAACTATAGCTCTACCTTCTGGCAACATTCAATAATTTATTAAAATACTTAAGCATAAAACCTGGTGCACTCAAGTGGCAATGGAGAGAGAGAAAATGGTTTTATTATCATTTCTGGAAGATCTGCTGCTATTACTTAGAGTAGGATAGGGCTCTTGGGAGTCAAGACACTTCCTCAAAGGCTCAAATATATTAATGGACTTTTAGTTTCTTTCTTGTCCTCTTATCATCACCCTTTAGGCTGCTGTTTTAGAACACACTTGGCAGTCAGTTAATAGGGCTGCTTACTTAACTACTAGCAGTGTGTAAGAAGGCAGAGAGAAGGTTTGTCATCTTGGCAGCTCCTGCTTAAAAATATGTTTCAGTGTTTATGTACATGCAAGCAGAAGCAAAATTAGAGATGTGTATGCTCTATGGAGAAAAAAAATCTGTATTCTTCTGTGCAACTCATAAGTAACTAACATGCAGATGACTCTGAAATACAGAGCTGTTGGGTTTTTTTAAAACAGGCTCTAGGTATTGCAATGTGGAAATGTGAACAGGATTTTATCTTTGTCTAACAACCTATCTCAAGTTCTTTTAATGAGTATAAGACAATGATGCTTTTGAAAGCATTTTTCAGTTCTGCAGGCAATCATAAATAGCAAGTACTCGGTAACTAATGTTGATTTCTGGCTGCAGTAGCTAATATGCCCCTTTAGGGCTTGAAGAGAAAAGGTCTAGGAAATGCCACTGAGGCACATTGAGAGCATGATCCTATAGGTAAGTCAGGGGAGTGATAACTTCAGCTGTTTGCAGGTAAAGCCTTTCCTTCTAGCTCAGACTGCTGTGGGTTTTAACGTGCTGGACTGTGAATCAGACTGGGAAGGAGCAGCACTCCTTCTGTTGACTGTGAACAGAATCAAATTCTCCAACAGAACCATTGCAGGCAAAATGTTAAACCATGGCAGGGATTTACTGGAAATTATCAAAGATGTTAGCCAGCATTTTTTGCCTGCAGTCTTCCAATAAAACCAGAGTACAAGTCAAAAGGCCTTGAAAATTGTTGCTTAAACAGTTTTCACGTTTTGCATTTGAAGTTCAAACAACAGGAAGGCAGCACTGTGGACTGTATAATTTAACTCAGAAACAATTCTCTAGCTGGATTTCCTAAGCCACTGATACATAACTCAGTGAAAGAAAGAAATGCAGATCACAGCTAGTGACCATTACCTGTCACTGATGTCATGGAAACCCACTGTACACTGAGTTATATGAAGAAAACCCACCTTAGCATTTGGAGTAGCTTTAATTGTCCAGATACAGTCAACTGCTTGTCCTGGTTTTGTTTTCCCTTCTTGTTCTACTTGACTGGAACGTACTATTCCATCAGCTCCTGAGAGCTCAAACTGGCAGTCTAGGGAGAAGATATACCTTGCTATCAAATGCAATATGACATTAATTTCAAGTTTCATGTATAAATAAATAGCTACTGTAATACCAGACCTGGGATGGGATTTAAAATGCCTCCTAGGTAAGTGAAGTCAGGATCTGTAACAGAAAGAAGTCAAGAATCACAAGGGCTATCAGTGCTTGAGAATCACTTCAAGGTCTAGTTTTATCTGCAGATTATGTCCATTTTTTTTATTATGTAACAATAAAAATTGCCAGAAAGTTTACTGAATCAATTGGAGAGAACAGAGATCATTTATTTTTTTTAGATGGGAACATTATTCCACAAAGACTGACCTTATGTGAATAAGGCAATTCCATACTGACAGCTCAGATTTGCAGCATAACACCAAAAATGACTATCAGCATTTTGTTCCTACAGTATGTTCTGAATTTCACTATGCCAGTTTTCACTGAAATCACTGGAGCTCCACAGGAGTACAGGGGATCTTGCTGTGTGTAGATGATTTAGACTTATTTTATCAGGTTGCTCTGTCTAGTTCTGAACAATACAAACTGGGTAGTTTAACAGAATATATCAACACTTTGGAATTGCTAACTGCTCTTAACGAAAGTGAACAAGGACAGTTCAATCCTAAAGATACTTTTTCCTTGGGTACCCATGCCTCCTCTTTTAGGCCAGGAAGTACAGCTCTAGACATTCAGAAGGCAGAATTTCATCCTCATTGCTCCTCTACCTCCTCTCTTCTAAATGTGATGTGTAGGTAGTGTATGCATCAGTATACTACAGGATATAGTACAGTGTGCACAATACTAGTGAAATAAGAATATAATTTTTCATAGTGGTTATCTACTGGGACTAGAACTTGGCTAAAAGTGAGTCTGTAATGGGCTGGGATGTCCAAGTCTTGCAATTCAGTGACCAGGTTAGTGTTTCCTCCCAAATCAGCATAGAAAGCTGCAGCCATTCACAGAAAACCATCACAGAAATCACACAGACCATGGTGTGTGAAATGTTAGTCAGTGCAAAGAAAACACAGAGGAAAGGAAAATATCAATCCTTCAGTCGCTGCAATACTGTGAAATATACAGTTTAAATGCATAAAGTTCCAGCCTGGAACTATGCTAATTTAGTTTTGAGAGTGATATTAATGAAATGGCTTTGGAAATGGACTTAGCAAAATGCCTAAGTACTGTTCCTATGAAAACATTTTGGCATGTTATTCCCAGTGGACTGGGAGTTTCCAAGTCTAAATCCCTAGCAAGGTACACGGTTCTGTAAGCAGTAATATATGAACACTGAAAACAGTGTTTTCCTGTGCTGTAGGGGTAAAGACCAGTTGGGTAAAGGTGACATTAAGTTATATTTGTGTATACATTTGTAGAGGTAGCAGAGCTGACACTTGTATATTGTCTTTTTTCCCAAAGGACAATAAAATGCTGATAACTACATGTATACACAGTAAGAAGTACAGTATTCAAGCAGTGCACAAGGACATCAGGTCAAATTTTCATGTAAGAAGAATGTCCTGCCAGTTTTAAGTGGCCCCACAGTGCAGCTGTACTTTTTGTTTTTCTAAAGGCACTGTCAGCACATTTTCCTCTTCTTTCTACCCTGTAAACTCCACAGTACTTTGTGCAAAGAACAGCTCTGCTGTCTGAGCCTGTGGTTTGAGGGAATCGAGTTACCCTGAGAGCTGATGCTGGCACTGTATAGATATTTCCTCTGGCTTTTCAGAATGAGGATTTCAAATGCTTTGCATCTGGCTGGAAGTCCTATTGTAGTTTTGCTTTGGGTGTTTTGGTCACAGTGTCTTAAATTCCTAGAAGAGAGACTGTTGCAAATGCTATTAGTCTGCATTAATGCTCTTTCCATTACTACCTCTGGTGAAACCAGGACGGGTTAGAGGAACAAAAGGGAAGCTGCTAAAGACTTCAGCACGAACAAGGTCAACTGTCCTCTTTATTAGCAAACTACAGACCTGTCATTTCCTTCAATTTTCCCAAGTGGTTTGAGTCAAGTATCCTGCAGGATAAGCAGGACTGAGAGTGTAACTATTGCATTGTCACTGATGATGAATCACAGCTCTGGACTGACAGCACCAACACACCCACAGACAGTCATTAAAACTCAAGAGTTTGACATCTTTACCTGGGATAAATGAGTACTTTGCTTGGAATCCCTTTCCTTCCAGCTCCTCATCAGAAGTAAACTTGATCCACATAAATCTCCCTGTTGATCTAATTAGTGCAGGACTTTTCAGACCACAGTAACGATTAATGAGAGGGGAGAAACCAAAAGGTCCATCTCGAACCTCCAGGTGATCAAACCGACATTCAAATGAGGGTTCTATGTAATAAGGTTCATCAAAGGTCAACTCGATTCTTTGCCGTGGAGCAGCTAGACATAAAATCAAGCAAAAGATTAAGTGAAGATCTAGAGGCATGAAAGGCATGAAATAATGAAGAGACAGGTCTCCAAAACAGCAAGTTAAAAGAGAGACCAGAACTTGTCAAAATACATCTGGCCATCTGCTATAAAAATTCAGACACGCTGTGGTAAAAAGTTTGAAAATTATTCTGTAGAAGGTACTTTTTCATAGAATTTAACAGATTTTTTGCTTGCTGATCTCTGTTGAAAATTCAGAAATGACAAATATAATGCAGCACATGTAACAGATATTAAACATCTTTTCAAAGGTATTCAAACAAGATTTGGTTGTAAGATATAAATTCAAATCAGTGTTCTGTGAAAGCAAAGTACAGAAAAATGGACAGAACTCTGAGGTATGCAGGAAAGAATGGAAAAAAGACATGAAGGACTAACCACTGATGTGTTTCTTAAACAGAAAGCCCAAATTTGGAGAGCCTTTGGCAGAAGACATTTTTTATTAGACTACACAGAGGAGTGTAAATGCTTTACATATGCTAATAATATGCAAGTGGCTACAGATGCTGCTAAGTCTGAACTAGTGGCAGCCTAACATTAGGATTTGGACCAGCCCCTAAATCCTGATGAGGTGCAGCTATGACTACTTTGTGATGAGACTTCCACATGTGCAGTTGGAACCCTTGATTTTAATTGTGTGAATAGCTTTAGGGTTTCTTGTTCTTGGCACCTCTTGAGCTACCTGAACTTTCAGACACTCCCTGGTATGTGGAGTGACAGCACTGAAGAACCACATGCTCTTTGCTTTCTCTGAATGTAAAAGGGATTTATTTGCACGTCTCTAACACTGTTTCAACCTACTTACAGATGGGTTAAACACATTTGTAGCTGCTTGTGCATATTGGCAGTGATCTGCAGGAAGGACCTGATCTTAGCTAGGAATTCTGGAGGGCCTTGGCATCTCACTCAGGTACTCATGGTGTTTCTGTTGAGGCTGTGAGGAGAGGTGAGGAGGCTGATTCTGTGCTCCATGGAAAATCCCTTGGACAAACCCTGTGGAGGAACAGGCTATCTGCTCCCCAGGGGCACCCGCAGCTGTGCACTTGCACAGGCAAAAAGGAGGGTGTCTGTGAACCAGGACTGTACAAACAAACCCAAAATTTCTTGAAATATTTCAATTAATTGATATGGATCTGATGATTAAGCTGACTAATATTTTTAGCTGACTTCGGTGGGTTTTGGGTGCATTCTAATAAGAGGAAAAATAATTAGAGTGTCTCAAGTCTTGCAGCTTTTATCCAAGATATTCTCATTGGAATATGGTTTTATTCTAGTTAATAACATTTTTTTGTTCTCATCACATTATTTTAACAATGACCTCAGCAGTGCTAACAAATCTCTGTATTTTTAGTACAGTGCTATGGCAGTTAGATGTATCTTTTTTATTAATGAAGGACAGGATAAAGACTTTCTGCTGGTGAAACAGAATAACACAGCAAGGTCTGAAAATAGTCTTCATCTCTTCCAGTTTGTTATCAGTGATATTAGGATAACAAGCTACAATTTTTATCTTAATTGTTCTGTGTCTTCATAGATTACAGCAGAACTGATGCTGCTTTTTCTGGCTGTGAGGCTATGTCTTGTTCCATACAGCTAATTTCTTAACGTTTGCATTTCTTATGAACTCATTATTATTACTTCAGAGAGCAAATTTAGCTTCTTGTTCAAGTAAACAACTGCAGAAAATATGACACTACCAGTATGGCTATACAATACTTCACAGTACTGTCAAATAACACAGTTATAACAGCTCAAGCTCATCCATTTAAGAGGCAGATCACAGCACAACGAAACACAAACACAGCAGGTACCTTCTAAGATATAGATGCACTCCTGATTTGGTGGGTACGTGTTGGGGTAGTTTGGTGAAGCAAAATGTCCTCCGTTACTGGTCCGTACCCAGTTGTCGCACTGGGTGGGAGGAATGCGATTCACTCCAATGTTTTGCCCACCTTAAGTGGAAAAAAAAAAAAAGTGATCAATAAATTTCCTCTGCAAGCATGCAGATGTGATGCTGCAAAGCAAAAACACACTGGCATGGCACAGAGCATACAGAAGAATTTCATTTCATTTTGTTGAAAACTCTCTTCTAACGCACTCGTTAATATCTAGTTAGGAAAATCTCGTGTTTCATTTTGTCATGTGATGTATCCCAAAGAGATCAAAGGTTTTGAATATCAAGTATGCCCAGTGATCCTTGGGAAGAGAGGGATTAATTTCTTTTTCTTTTTTTTTTTAACCCAAGTCAGTTCAAGTTTTTTGATGCTCTTCTAAATGAAATATTCACAGTGGCTGCCAATATAGCAGCATTATTTATGGCTTATGTCTTCTCATTCCTATGTAAATATAAGCTGAAATATTTCTAAGCTTTTACTGGTTTTGCCCCTGATTCCAGAGTATACTGAAGTCCATGGCCCTTAGGTGGGATATCTGTAGCTTGTTGGAACACAGAATGGTTGTAACAGAGTTAATTATAATATGCAAATACACCAAATACAGCAATGGTAGTTAACAGAATTACTAGCAATAGGGAGAGTGCAGTGGTAGCTAAGGGTCTCATTTAAGATCAAAGCTCCTCTTCTGGGTGTACAGGGAACTATGGTCTTGTGCTGAGATTATGCAGTTACTGAGCTAATACATCCAGCTGGACCATTTGCAGGAGTTTTGCTGGGTGAGATTTCCTTATCCAAGGAGAAAGAGAATGGGAAGAGTATGTTCTTTGACATTCTTAGATACTTTTGGCCCTGCTCCTTGGTATCAGCAGAACTGGATAGAGTAAGACACAGGATATGTGGTTTCTGCTAGATCCTTCCTGATTCTCACCGGGTGCTCTCATGATGTCATTTGTATTAATGCAGCTTTAATTTGCAGAGCTTTGAGAGGACATCCATGCTAATACAGGTCTTAGCTGCCTCCAGTAAATTACATCACCTTCCTCTGATATCTTGGCAGCTTTTTGATTTATGGGGGTGAAAACTCCCTCTCCTGCAGAAATTTTTCAAGGAAATTCTGTAGGTGTCAGTTCAAGGAATTCTTCTCTCTTAAGTGTGGGTTAATCCCACATATGAGAAAAAAAGGTTTGTGAAATTGATGCCTTCCCCACTCAGCAGGCATCAAAAATGTTTGTGGGTGGACTATTTGAAAAGCTTGTTGTCACATACAGAAAACATGAATTTCCATGGTGGTTTCTTTTCCACTTCTAACATCTAAAAACGTAGAACTTCAGCTGGGTAAGGGAACTTCCATGTTCTCTGTGACTGGATGGCTTTGTTCATTTGGTAGGAAACACAGTAAATGGGGGAAAATGGAAAATCCTAGAGTTCATATTGGCAATCCATGAGCTATTAATACCCAAACATAAATACTTTCTTTTGCTTACATTATTTTTTGAGAGAAAATAATCAAACAAAAACAATACCTTGTGTCTTCTGTGCAACAGCAATCCCTTCCACTACGAGGATTGTTACTAGCAACACTGATGAGAGAAATTGGACAGGAGAAACATCAGTCATTCATCAAGATTATAGACTGTTATCTGCAGCTCTGATTCATGCAAATCCTTGCAGCAAAGCACTGACCAAAACAACTCAGAACATACAAAATTACATATGGGTTTGCTTAAAATTTCAACTTTAGGAAACCAGTGCAGTCTTCATGATTTGATTTGACTAAATATTAGTCCTGTTAAAGACTGCTATACTCTTTCCTCCAACCCTCATGCCTCTCTCCTTCCTTGCTTCCTTCCTTCCTTCCTTGTGAAGATGGTTTTCCTTTTGGCCTTTCCCTTATATTTACACTTTCCCTGCACCCAAGAAACATCAGTACAGACAGCACACACTAAAGATTCCATATTTCACTATCCATCAGCAGTTTTAAAGCAGGCTTAATGTCCAGATTTTCCTAAAATGCTTTGTCACCTTAAATTGTTAGGGATTACCAGGAGAGGAAAAGAGAATGAAATCAAGTATATTAATATGCTACTCTTCAAACCTCTCATTTGTTTCCACCTTGTGTATCTGTACAATTCTGGACACGTCTCTCACAGAACTAGCTAAGCAGGATAGAGCTCTGCCCTGGACAGAAAGTGGCTGAGGAGACACAGAGTCCAAGTTATAAAATCACAAGTGTCATTGAGATTGTGAATAGAGAGCATCTACTACTTGTCTGTCCCAGTATAGGGAGCAAGGGGTATCAAAGCTGGTGGGTGGTATGCTCAAATTAAATGAAGATTTCTTTCTCTTTTTTTAAATGCACATACTTTATAACTTATCCTTGAGGTAGAAAATTCTACTTCAGAAACCCCTCAAGCAGTAAGTTGTTGGAAGTCTGGCATAGTATTTGGGGCAAATATAATTTGCTCTACTTTTATATTCTTTCTGCTTTTGTATGTCTGTGAAAGAAGATACGAGGCTAGATGGACCTTTGATTTGACCTGGTATGGCCTTTCCCATGTTCTTGATCTACTTGTTAATACCAAGTCAGACAGGCATGGCCTTACTGCCCTCAAGCAGTAAGTTGTTGGAAGTCTGGCATAGTATTTGGGGCAAATATAATTTGCTCTACTTTTATATTCTTTCTGCTTTTGTATGTCTGTGAAAGAAGATACGAGGCTAGATGGACCTTTGATTTGACCTGGTATGGCCTTTCCCATGTTCTTGATCTACTTGTTAATACCAAGTCAGACAGGCATGGCCTTACTGCTGCAGGGAAAAAATTTCAGCAGGTAGCAGGAATTTTATTGTCACATTCAAGAAGTTAATTTTATTTTCCCAGTTTTCCTGTGGTGTTGCTCAGCATTTTAGTGGCTCATGCTGAAATGGCATTTCCTCTGTGATTCTGTGTTGCTGTTGGACTTTGAGCCCTGTAGAGAATTCCAGGGTGAGCATGCACTGACTGTGAACTACAGTGATCTTCACTCAACTCCTCTAGATGCTCCTGTAATGTTGGCATGGATGTGTTAACTTGGGAAAAGATAAAAGGGATCAAAGTCTGCCCCTGAAAGTGTCCATCTAGCACTTGTGGTTTATTATCTATGTTTCTGCTGTCCTTTCTTGTCTCCACCTATACTCAGACTGGATCTCATTCTGAGACTTTGCTCACCAACAACTGCTTTCTCCTGTGTAAGTCAAGTTCCTAACTGTGGGTGTTTTCTAAAACACCATATGGGACTTGCAAACAAGTGTTATGTTCCTGGAAGCTTGTTTGGTTTTTAGGGATGGATTATGAGATAGTAGGTGAAGACTTAAGTAGTTTTTCGATTTCCATCTTTGCAATAATTCTGCCTTTTCATCAACATGTTGAAAAATATACTTCCTAACTGTCATTCTCCCAACACAAAGTATCCATCACTAATCACTGCTGACTGACCCCAAACTGCAAACTCCTCTGTCAGAACAAAGGATCTGGCACACATCCCTGGTCTTCAGGTTATGAGTGTTCACTAGTCTTTAAGGAAGCAAACAAATACCCTGCCTTTATTATCATATGACTGACATCAGTTTTCAGCTGGTCTTAGTATTTCTTATATAGATGCTTTTTCAAACTTATTTGCAGTTTATTTCTGCAGCTTCTCTGTTTAAACTGTGCACTCCAAGATCTGTGTTTAAACACCTGAACTAGCAATGCATTCGTACTCCTGAGCTCACTTGTCCCTAACAGAGAATCTTGATAGTGGTTATGAAGTTGTCAGTCTGTTTTCTTTGAGGTTTTTTTTCCACACAGGATTTGGAGCAACCCTTCCAGGTTGGCTTTCATTGTCAAAGCAAATGCAGTTCCCACGATCCTGTGTAAATCACGTGTCAGTACGTCCTGTTGAATTGATCTTTCTTAAAGATGTGCTGAGCCCACCCTCTGTTTCACAAGGACACAGCAAGTTCTGTGTAACTTGTGCCACTTCTCAAAATGTGAAATGAGCTTAGGCCTCTTTTTCTTAAAGCAAACACACAGAGAAATCTGAGTGAAATAAATACTTCTGTGACTAACAAAATCAATGCAGACAGTCACTCCCAAGTAACAGTGAAAAATCTGAGGGTCTGTTGGTTAGCTTTGTTTTTTATTTAGTACAGCTCTTTACTGTGGCTACCACTCTTACAGTGCTTTTGAAAAAAAACAGCGTGCATCTCTGTTTATTTCAGTGATTGTACAGAGAGCAACAACAGGATAGATGTTCTGTTACACTAACCAGTGATTTCCCTTCTGGAACTGATGCGAATACAGAAAAAAAGCCTCCTAAAAGGACTCCAGAAAGCCTGACTGGCTTTCACTAGAGCCTGTGCCATTTCTATAAATAGTCCAGAGCTGTGTGTGTGTGTCTAAGTGCAAAGAACAGTGCATGTTCCTTGCAGAACATGCAGGCAACTGCAGAAGATAAATGGGCTGAGTATTTGCCTTACTGTCTTCCTTTTGTCATGTTATATGGATGAGGGAGAATAGTAAGTATGGGCCACCTTCCCTTTGTTCCCTGCCCTTTTCATCCTCTTCATTTTTTAATCTCTTCCACCTCTTTCTTGCCCTCCCCTGGCAATGCCCATCCTTCTCACGCTCCTGACAGCCCTTAAGATGTATTCAGAGCAGCCCAGGGAGCAAACGTTTCAGGGTCTTCCTTTGCCATTACTTTTGTCCCAGGTGACAGTATGATAAAGAAAAGAGGAGTCTCTGACTAACAGTCTGTGTGTTTGCTGTCCTTATCTCTGTGGCATTGCTTGCAAAAAGGCGAAGAGGACTTACCTGTTCTTCTTGACAGTACTGGGCAAGGATGCCTGAGGTAGTATTGCCTTAAACTGCCTGCATTTACATGACACAGTATAATGTGGCATAACAAACAGGAGTTTGGGGGCTGAAAACAAGGCTTAGCAATATTCAGGATGAAAGGAAATGAAAGAAGGGAAAAAAAAATCAGTCAGGATATTTTTAGACCTTTCAGACTGTTTCCGTTAACCCATTTTTTTTAAAAAACAACAAAGCAATCACTTGGTGTCCTAAATCCACACCACTTCCAGGAAAAACAGTGTTGAATCTCAGGCACTTTGAACAATACAAGTCTGTAAGAGGGAAGATGTCTAGGGAAGAGCCAGTTCCTGCAGGACAGGGCAGTGGAGAGCTAGACCCAGTGTCCTGGGACTGCATGCAGGGACACAGGCACAGCAATTAGAACAGACAGGAGAGGCTGAACTACTTTCACTAAGTCTTATAGCACTTCAAGAAGGATGCAGAATGACCTTGTGATTTCTGATAAACTGAAATTCAAATAGCTATAATGCACCTGAACTTAGAATTGGACTCAGTATTCCTCTGCTCCTCTTTCCAAGTCACATATCACACTGACACGACTATTCCTCAGAGCCAATGAAAGACAACTCTAGACTCAGTGTCATAGTCCATTATGGTACAGACAGCAGAAGCAGTGAGTAAAAATGCCACTTGACCATGGCTTGCTAATGTAAGGAACAGTGCAGCACTGCAGGACTGAACTGATTATCAAAGGGATGGAAGGGATGGTCTGATTGGTTTGGGTTTAGTGGAGGAGTTTGGTGAGAATTCTATTAGAGGACGCTGAAATGTGGGAGGCTTAGAGATATTTAGTGGGTAAATACAATAAGTTAGTGCTTCTGCACCTTATATGGAGCTTCTACCTCATGCCATGTGCCCTGTAGAAGAGGCCACCACTAGGCCAAGAGCAGCAGAGACCGAGGCAGACCGAGCAGGAGGGGCTGCTTTTATTCTGGTGTCTGCAGACTTGTATCTCATGGATTATGGTTCATGCTTTTGTGCTACCATTTACAGCTCTGACAGTTTTACCTGTGTGAACATTAACCAGGTGCAAAGGAAAAGCAAGCACGATTCTGTCTCTGTTTTTAAAGGAATGGATTTTTCATTTTCTTCACTTCTTTGCATGAAATACGTTAGCTCACACAGCCTGCAGACAGCTGTATGAATTGTGAAGAGACACTAACCATACACTGCAAGTTCTTACTATTCTGTTCTTGAAGTATGCTCATGGAATAACAGAAAAGAAGCCCCTGAACTGGTGCAAAAAGCTGTGCATTGTTTGCAGGAGTCGAGGTTTTCTTTGTAGGCATTTCTTAAAATTTTCTAAAATAAAACTAAGATGCACACACACAGAACATTGTCAGCTTGTGCACTGAAGTATATATAGAGAGGTTCACACATGCCTGGCTCCTTTTTCTCTTTAAAAATGAGAATCCTATAGTTAGTTTTCTAGTAAACGAGTGTTCAACCCAATATTGAGAAATCAGTGTGTTGCTTAGAAAAACAAGTGCTTTAGGCTGCGAATCTTGACATATGGTTGTACTTCCTGGCAAGATGCATTCTTCAGATTTCATGGGATACAGCTCTGAGCTCCCTGTGATATGTCTTTCCTCTGCTCTTTCTGCATGCTCCGGGGATCTTCACACACAGAGAAAACAGACTAGATTTGCTGTGTGGCTCTGAGAGCAGTGTCTGTCTTCAGTGATG